ATTAGCCCCCTTAAGAAACGATCCCCCTGTGTTGCTTGATGTTTTTCACCTCTATCTTTAATTTGACAGAACCTTCAAAAGAAGCGCTGACTGAAACTGACCCCTTCAGGCTGTGATCCTAACCGTGATGTTCTGGTGACTGTCGCTTTACTTCAGATGAGATTGTGCTCTTTTTTAATAACTGAATGATTATATTTGATGATGTATAAGCTGAAGGATACTCGTCCATCTTCTGCAGCTGCTTCTGGCACTCCGCGATCTGCCGGCGTGTGTGTGTGAGCGGCAAACTCCAGCTCTCAGACACGAACGACTTCAGAGAGTCCAGCAAGAAGAGCTCAGCACTCTGAGGGTCACCCTTCCTCCTGCGCACGCATACACACACAATTACAGAGAGAGAGAGAGAGAGACACACACACACACACACACACACACACACACACACACACACACACACACACACACACACAGATGAGCTACAGAAATAAACCTGCTAATCACAGCAGTCAAACACACACTCACTCAGACACACACACACACACGCGCACAGAGATGATGAGACGGAGCACTCACCAGATAGTGTTTCTCAAAGGCCTCGACAGACGATAACGCCTCCTTCAGCTTCTTATACGGACTCTGAAGACTTTGCGCTAAAACACACACACACACACACACACACACACACACACACACACAACATCATTAAAACAATGAAACTATACGCTGTACACTAATATCCAGAGTATATACTGCACTAAAAACACTATACTGCTGCTCGGTGTAATATCTGACTCTGATATCCAGCAGTGTGTGGTTTGTTTCTGTGATGAATCTCCAGCATCATCACTAGGGGTGTAACAGATCACGGTAGATCCATATAGATCACACCGCACGGTTCAGAACGCCTGCGACTCGCCAAATGAATCACTTTGTTGAACTTGTAGGTTAATCCAACTTTTATTACAGCGGCAGAGAGAGATCGCCCTCCATGAGTTTTGGACGCTGGTGAGAGCTATTACATAGTGTAGCCAACTGGTGGCGACAAACAACCATCAAAATGATGTCCCTGAATGGGTTTGCAGAAATGATCCCGCTATAATGACACATGAAGTTTAATTGTTGAATCATTCATTGAAAATAAATCTGATCTGCTGTACAAGATGTTAGAGTTCTACAGATCAGTTTTCTCTTGTTTCAGCTGCTTCTGTCTTGATTTTTATTTTTATTTTGATGAAGTGACAGGTCGTCAGTTCTGTTTGTTGACCTGATGGTTTTCGCAGTAACATTTTGTATAAATGGAAAGCAAATGACATTTGTCTTCTCCCTTTTTCTGCTGATCCGAAAAATGGTCCAATCCGTGACTCTAAAACCGCAGTGTGACCCGAACCGTGAGATTTGTGATCCGCTATGCCAGTAATCCTCACTGCAGTCATCCTCACCTGTTTCAGCTCTCTCTGCGCCCAGACCGGCCAGCAGGTCCACTGTTCTGTTCAGATCTTCAGAGTTAGGGCCGTTTTCAGACACCAGACCACACAGATCACCCAGAGCCTTCAGCTGAACACACACACACATGCACAGGCCGCACACACACATACACACACACACCCAAGAAAATATTTACAGTCTGTACAGGAGAAAGATCATTACAGCTATAGATGTACAAGTGTGTGTGTGTGTGTGTGTGTGTGTGTGTGTGGGGCTGTGTGCACACATTTATATGTGAGTGTTTGTGTATTTGTAAGTGTGTATGAGTGAGTATGAGTGTGTATGCCTGTGTGTGTTTATGTGTATGTGCGTATATGTGTTATGAGTGTATGTGAGTTCATGTATGAGCGAGTGTGTGTGGTGTCCATGTACATGCATGTGTGTGCAGTACCTTCTCCGTGGCGTATGTCCACAAGCCCACAGTGTGTGAGTAGTTTGCCTCCAGCTGACTACGCTCGCAACAGCCCTCGATCCTGTGCAGAACCTCCAGACAACTCAGAAACACCCAACAGTCCAGCGCACCACACACCACTGACACCTGCAGCATACACACACACAAGCGAGTCAGACACACATACACACACCCAATAGTCCAGCAAACCACACACACACACACCTCCAGCAGCCGCAGCTCCTGTACGCAGGTGTGCAGCAGCTCCAGGGCGCGGGCCGTCACCTCCCAGGGTCTCTGCAGGAAGATGAGCAGCGTGCACTGGCGGGAGAACAGGTAACTGCGCAGGTCCAGCAGGCTGGCGTCTCCTCTCTGGATCAGGTCTCGCTTCTCCATGTCGATGGGTCTCCGCAGCAGCAGCCCGTTCCAGCTGCGCACCGGCTGGCAGAACGAGCACAGCCAGTTCGCTCCATCTGATCACACACACACACACACTTAATTTTAAATGTATACAGCAGGGAAATAAGTACTGAACCATTTTCCCCAGAGCACATATTCCTGAAGGTGCCGCTGACTTTACTTTTCCCCAGATGTTGGTAACAACCACAGAAATCCACATATGCACAGAAAACACATCTAACTAGTTCAGAAATGAAGTTGTGTGTAGTAAAATAAAATGAGGCAAGGAAAAGTGTTGAACACATGAAGAAAGGGAGGTGTATTTGAAGAGTGAAAGCCCAGACAGCAGCTGCAGTCTCTCAGTAGTTCTCCAGCAAGCCTCTGCCCATCCTCAGTGTAAATGCAGATCAGCTGCTTCAGTCCAACATCTACATCAGCAGGAGGATGAAGATCAAACCTGGGGTCCGTTCTTTGTATGTGGATTATTCAATTAATAATAACTCTGTTTAACATATATTTATATTTAACTATACATATATTTAAATATAAGTTAAATATAAGTTTAAAAAATATGAAAATTAAACTGATGCAATCTACACTCCCAAATAAAAGTCACAGGATGTTCTCTCCCAAAGGGGTTCAAAGGACTATGGACTTTCTAGATACACACACATATTATTTTAAGGTACTGACCCAGCTTTAGTACAATTTGTCTATGATAAAAGACAACACGCACAATATTGGACTGTGTTTTTGTTTGTATGTTTTTTTTAAAGGAATAATAATTTCTGCAATCATTCACGTTCAGACAGATAATAGCCTACACCTGTGATGTGATGTTTCGCAAGAGTTTCAGACACCTTCATCAATATTAAAATGCTTTTTTGATGCAGAATAATTTACACAGCCAGTTATTACGCTGATTACTCTGCTCTAAATGTAAAATTAAATAAATTGCTAAATACTCTCGACACATGGAAGTGTAAAGCCTGCAGCCCACAACAACTGTGGAAAGTTATGGCGTATCATTTGTAAAAAGAACGGACATATTTACGTTTACTATGAATTTGATGTCATTCATGGATAACTGAATATTAATCAGATGATGTCATTACGCTGCTGTGCCGTCAGCCAATCGCTGCATTGCTGATCATGATTTTGAGGATGGATAGATCTGTCCTTCACAACACACGCAGATCTCAGATCAGCTCATCCAGACATTCCAATCTGATTCAGGAACTTGTTTGAAGAACCAAATTAGCCAGAGATCAGTTATCAAGATGAACTGATCCAGGATCTGCCAAATCATCTCAGATCATTTAAGCGAGATATGAAGAACGGAGCATTTCAGTAAGACAATGATCCAACACACAGCCAAGGAGACTCAGATGCTTTCAGAGAAAGACAATCAAGCTGTAGAATGGCCCAGCAGTAATCACAATACTGTGAAACCGTGATCTTTTTATTAAAGGTTATCATCCCGTCAGAATCCTATACCGGCCCAAGCCTACGCTCGAGCAAAACACCTGAACTCAAATGCAGACGGTCATTTAGTGGAGAAACTCTGAGCAATTCTCCCACTGTCAGTAAAGTGTGAGCGTGTGTTTATCCTGATGTGAGATGCAGAAGTACCTCCAGCGCCGAAGTTGAGCACGTACTGCGTGAAGAGAGCGTCCAGCTCATCATACTGCACCAGAGCATCCTCAAACTGCTGGAGCATCTCGAAGACAAACGCCAGCTCCTCCTGACACACACACACACACACACACACACACACACACACACACACACACACACACACACACACACACACACACGTCAGACAGCACACACACTGGCTGTGTTTCCATCAACAGATGTACTTTACTTTGCTACAGCAATCCACGTGTGAAGTTTGTTTAGATGTTTTGTTGATGCTAAAAGCAAATCAGATACCACCAAACTGCCCAAACTACAGTAGATTATGACGTCTACTATACAAATATTGGCAAAAGCATGAAAAAATACAGTGTGAATTCCTCAAACACAGGGGAACTCTTATATGTCTGCTCTTATACATCTGTTTTTATTTATTATTTGTTTTTATTTTCTTATGTTTGCCTCTTTTTTACCTGTTTATGTGAAGCACATTGAAGTACCTCGGTGTAGTAATGTGCATTAGAAATAAACTTGCCTTGCTGTATATGGTCACCAATGTAAACTGGTGGTCATGTCTGGTACTGCAGCCAAACTAAACTACTGAAAGCTCATTTCATGATATCAACTTCAAATTTGGAACATAATTTGCTCAGATATTTAGCTTTGATTGGCACTTGATTGGTCATTTCATTTAGAAAGATGGGAAAAAGCATTTGAGGAGAGTTATTACAACTTAACAGACTCCTCCTGCTCACCATTTCTGTTTGTTGTCTATTTTTTGTCATGTCTATGTCATCATGCACAGATGAATTCTTCACCCCAAAACTAGCAATGTGAGCTAAAGTCAATGATTAGATTTGATTTCGTCTGGACCTATTTCATTTCACTTATTCATTCATTTTCCTTCAGCTTAGCCTCTTTATTAATCAGGAGTCGCCACAGCGGAATGAACCACCAACTATTCCAGCATATGTTTTACACTGCGGAAGCCCTTCCATCACTTGGAAACACTCACACACACACACACACACACACACACACACACACACACACACACACACACACACACACACACACACACACACACACA